ATATCAAGGTAATTCTGATATTATTATACTAAGAAAATTTAAACAATATTTGAAACGTACGTTGATATTTTGATAAATAGGAAACAATGAAGGATATGTTCCGCAAGAAGCACCACCTTCCGCCTACCCTGAATCACTCGACACTGAAAGTTTTCCGACAGATGAATCATATCCGGCTGAAGATTATGGAACATCCTATGGGTCTTCTAGATCTGAGCAGAGAGAAGATACGAATGACTTCTCAGAATCTTTACCTTTTCCCTCCGCAATACCCCCGGATTACATCAGAATGGGACATGAAGAAATCCCGTTATCGTTATTTTCACAAATGGGTGCTGAGGGTTCAAATCCCGCTTTAGAATATCCTGCCTCACCCCCAGCTTACCGAGACTCTATTTACCCCGAATCTTCAATGGTTGGGTTTCAATACAATGCTCCTGCCCCTACCTTGTGGTCTGAAAATGCGTATCATCCTGCAAATATGTACAGATCTCCCATTAATGATCAATATATCTCGATAAATGCAGAATCTAATTATCAACCATCTCCGCGGAACTACCCCACTGCAGCGTTTGCTCAAACATCCGTTGATGACACATTCGAATCTCCGCGTTCTGAATCCTATGATTCTGAACCCATAGAAACCTTGCAATATGAATCGCCTTATTCGTACACCAATCATAGGTCATATAATCCTTCACATGGTAATTATCATGACTTGAATACGGATGATTACGAAGATGACGATATGGGTCATTCATCAGGCATGCCCATGCAACATATGCAGGAGGGTGGTTATTCAGGTTATCGCACTCCCGATGCTCAATATAAGATCAAGAGAGGTCCAGATGGAGATGCCACTGGCTATTCCTACAGCAAGAAAGATGATGACGATAGTGACGGCAAAACATCTCACTATCATTACGAACAAAATAATTACGGAGATAAGGATGAAGACATGTCCATTGGAGCCAATGATCATCTTCAAGGAAACCCTATAATTCCTTTACAAGTACAAAACCAAATTGCTCAAGACTTCAAGATGTCCGCCTACATTCCGCAGCCTCCTAGAAATAATTTACGAATGTCATTTTACCCTATGCATAGAAATATAGTAACTCGACAAGACCAAGACAGTAGTGACTCATTATCATATTCGACGAAGCAAAGAATAAAAAAAATAAACCAAAATGGTTTGGGAAAATATTCCGAACCTGCAAGTGATAAAAATAAAAAAAGTGTGGTTACTTCGACTGAAATAGACAGCAATGATATTGATGGCCCTAAAATGTTCGCTGGTCGCGTAGACGTCAAAGGAGAAGATGGTTCTAGAACCACAAACAGAGATACCGATAATTCTCAAATCAAAGCTAGAATCTTACCTTGGTACTTTTATAACTCCAACCTCTATCCAACCAACAACTATAATCAATATGAGCGACAACCTCTATCATATGTTATGGCACCTATAATGACCAACAGTGAATATCAAAAAAAATTGATACAACTCTACATGCAAAACTGGAGTGCTAATTTACCAAACATCAGCAAAAATGATGAAAATAACAATCAACAAACAGACACTTCTTCCATTACGGCACAAGATGACGAGAATGGTGATAATGATCAAATGTACCCACATTATAAATAAATTTTATATATTTTTTTATTTGTGTAAAAAAAATTTATAACCATAAAATAGACAATTATTTTAGGAAATGACTAATATATTACGATGATTATATGCATAAATTAACCTAATAAAAAAAATTAAAGATTTTTTGCGTTTACAAATTATTTGTCAAGAAAAATTAATCCAACCCAAAATGATTATATTTTAAAATTTAAAAAACAATTCTGATAAAAATATCATATTTATAACGCCGCTTTTTTTAAAAAAAAATTAATTATTTTTTAAATTCAAATACTGAGACAAAATTATTTAAATTTTCTGGGATCCAAACTGAACCTGAACTTAATTGATATACTACCGAACCTCCTTTAAATATTTTATCTTCCAAACCTGAACCAAATCTCTAAATTACCTAGAACTATATGATCGCCTAAATATTATTATCAATCACTCTTTATTGATTATTAGTTTTTATGCAAATAGGTTTCGAAGCGGTTTATAAAAGTTCATAACCGATGTTATTTTTTTTTATACAAACAACCCTTATTTTTGTATGAACTAGAATATTCAACACCATTCGGATCCCTACGAATTTTAATTAAACTCAGTTAATACAAGTGATCTCTGAGATTAAAACACAACTCCCAATTTTTCTAGTTTTTATAGGCCTTGTAAAAAAAATAGTTAGTCAATAATAAACTTTGCGAAAGAAAGAATTTTATAAAATATCTTTATATCATTATTGCTAAGTTTATTATGCCCCATACACTATATTATCCATAAATAATTGAAGGGCTTAGAAATAGCAAATTTTCTTTAACTTTTCGCGGTGAGTGCCATAGCGTATATATATTTTTAAAATATTTCAAAAAAATAATAATATAAAAATTTTGATATCAAATAAATGAAAAATATGTTCAATGTAACAGATTTACCATACTCTCTATTTATCACCTGGTAAAACTCGTTATCACTAACTATCATTTACAAAAAAACAAGTAACAATTTTTATATTATTAGTAGTAGATAAACTTGTAACCTTTAGTATTCTTAGATAATGGTTAGATTTTTTGTATTAAAAATAAATGTCTACAAAGAATCAATTAAACATCTCGCCAAAACCTGCCTAAGATCTTCACATTTAATTAAAAGTTTCCGGTATTGAATTAGCATATATGTATATATAGTCAATATTTTTATACATGAAAAAAATGATAATTAATCTGAGAAACTTTATTAAAATATTTTTAAAGTTTAAATTCGTGCAATAAACAAAAAGGAAACTCATTATTGTTACGCGTTACCTTTTTTTTAAAAGGAACGGGTGTTAATGATTTAAAATAGTAACGGGTTACTCGTTACTTAAAAAATTAAATATTATATATAAAAAAATATTTATTTTTTTCCTACATTATATAATATAAATAAAACTATAAAAAGAATATATAATAAGATAAGATTATTTTATAAAAAAAATTTTCATATATATATATATATAATGTATATATATAATCACCGTAATCAAGAATTGAACGTTTTCGTATATCCTTAATGTTAATTTTTATTTTTCTCATCAACTTTCCTATCTTTTTAATGTTAATTTTTATTTTTCTCATCAACTATCCTATCTTCATAATGTTAAATAAATCGATGGAGACTATATCTCTCTAATGTTAAATCTTAAGAAAATTTTTTGTATGTAACGGGATTCGAACCCTTGACTTAACGATTAAAGGCAAGCGTTCTTCCCGCTCAACCATCTTCTATATTAAATTTTGTAATATAATCTTTGTTATATACTTTATTATTTTGATATTATTTTATATTTTTATTGGCTAATTAATCTTTATTTTTATTGGTTTATTAAGGTCTTATTTCTTGGGTTTAAATTTATTTTCTATCTATTTTATTGGTTGTAATTTATTTTCTTTGTTTTTAATTAATAACAACCATTTTTAATTAACGATCTTTTTTTAATTAATGATTTTTAAGAAGATAAAATATGGAAATATTTTGAATTAAATCTGCACAACACTATAGATGATAAAATCTAAATCAAAAAAAGTAAATTTATTAATTAGTTTTCATAAAAACTTTCATTATTTAAGGAAGATGATCGTAAATTGCTTATTATTCATAAATTACTTCATAAAAAAAATCTAAAAATAACAAACATCAGTTAGTTTCATTACCTACGCCTCAAAATGCAAATTTAAATCAATCTTTACCCACTTATTCATCAAATAAAACTGCTTTGATTAATTTACCTAAGACCTAATAATATAGGTATATTTTTATTTGGATTATAGATATATAATTTTTAATAATATTGTAAGGCATTTAGATGATAATTCAAATAATTTTATTTATATATAAATTAAAAATATGGAAATATTTTGAATTAAATCTGCACAACACTATAGATGATAAAATTCATATTTATAGAATTTACTTAAGACCTAATATTATAGGTATATTATTTGGATTATAATAGATAATTTATAAGGTATAGACAAATTAGAAAAAAAATATTATAAAAATATAATTTATTAATATGGTAAACAATTTTTTGTAAGTCAAATAATTTTATTTATATATAAATTAAAAAATATGGAAATATTTTGAATTAGATCTGCACAACACTATAGATGATAAAATTCATATTTATAGAATTTACTTAAGACCTAATAATATAGGTATATTTTTATTTGAATTATAATAGATATACTCATATTTATAAGGTATAGACAAATTAGTATTTTATAAAAAAAATATTATCTATATCATAGGCGTAGCCAGGATTTTCCTAAGGGGGGGGGGATTAATAAATTTCTGGGGGCACCCGGCCTTCGGCCGGGTTTCCTTAGTCTATATAGATTTCTAATATATATTTACAACATATGTAAATTTTAACAAACTTTTTATTTTAAATATAAGACATTGGTAAAGAGATTATATCAAAAAATAAGCCTGGAACAAATAAGAAATATATTTTTTACTATTTTATATAAAATATAATAAAAGATATGGTTGGGACCAATTTTGAAGTAATTAATGAATTTAAATATTGGTATGCAAACTTAAAAAGAATATAGATATTAAACCTGATAATGCAATAAAAGCTCTAACACATTAATAAACTTTTCAAACATTACAAAATTATTTAAAATTTTAGCAAGCCTCCCTATTATGACATGTACTAATGAAAGAACTTTCTCGAATTTATGAAGTTTAAAAATATATTTGCTAAATAGATCAAATATAGCCCTCTTAAATATCCATAGGGAATTAACACCAGTTAATTTTGAAATAATTAATGAATTATCAAGTTAAAAGAAATTAGATCATACAAATACATGGTAATAATTTATAATGTTAGATCTAATTTTCTTTTAGAATTTGATAATTCATTAATTATCTCAGAATTAGCTGGTGTTAATTCCCGATGAATATTTAATAGCGCTAAACCATTTAATCGATTTTGCGAGGTAGTATTTCCCAAATATGTTTTTAGTCGTCGTAAATTTGGAAAAGTTCTTTCATTTGTACATGTCATAATGGGGAGGCACGCTAAAATTTGAAAGAATTTCGTAATGTTCGGAAAGTCTATTAGTGTGTGTTTACAAATATTGAGTGCATTATCAGGCTTAATATCCATTCTTTTCAAGTTTGCATACCAATATTTAAATTCAGCAATTACTTCCAATTCGCTCCCTACCATATCTTGAAAATAAAAATTATATAAATAGCGAATTTTATTTATAATATCATCCGAGATGCTCATAGATGGATTAGAGGATAATAAAATCTGTAAGTTATTGAGTAGTAGCTTATGGTTCAATACGCGTTCTTTAATTTGAGTTAAAAATGTATCCATAAGTGGTATAAAAATCGTAATTTTGTAATACTCCTCTACCGATTGAGTGGATATATTATTCCTATGTACTTGCCTCGATCCAATTCTTGGCATGCTTATTATCATATTATATGAATGCACTTTTTTTTGAACCATGTTAAAAATTTTGTTAAATTCACAATCAGCATTTTTTCTTATTTCTAAAATAGTATCATATGCATCTTCTGCTAAGATCAATGCTTGAACCATATCTTGATTAACTTTTTGCAAGGCTCTGCATAATAATATAGTGTGACAGAATAAAGTGTTAATGCAATGTACTGCCAATAAAAACTCTGGATCTTGAATTGCTTTCAATATTCCATTAGCCTCCGCCACCACTGACGTATCGGTCCATTCATGTATTTCCTCTAATGCAACAATTATTGGGTCTAATATTTTCAAGAAAAACTGAAACTGATTCATGACGTAATATCCATCGTGTTGGGCATATTTTGACCAGTTTATGGTGACTATTCCCAAATTCTTCCTTTGCCAGACAATTCTTGAGGACATTAGATCTTTTAAGATACTTGAACATATCTTAAACTTTGCCTATTGTGCCTGTTTGTATAATGATTATAATTAAAATAAAAGTTTAATAAACCCATGGTACTACGAATAACTGGAATTGAGCAACAATCAGAAATAGCTAGATTAAGGGAATGGGACGCACAGTGAACATATATCGCTGTAGGGTATTTCTTTATTAAATGTGATTGAACACCATTTAAATGTCCACTAATAGCAGGGGCACCATCATATCCCTGTCCCCGCATAGAATTGACATTGATTTTAAATTTTTTAAGATGTAAATCAATTGTGTTTGCAAGAGATTCCCCTCTCATATCTTGAACAGGAATAAATTGCAAAAAGTCTTCTTTTATTTGAACTTCATCTATATAAATGATAATACTTTATATAAAATAAATATAAATTTTACCATTTTCAGAATATAAATACCGAGCACACAACGACATCTGCTCTATCCCAGATATGTAATTGACTCATCGGCCAAGACTGAAAAGAAAGGAGAATTATTAATATTTGCTACTACTTTTTTTAAAATTAAATCATTGCACACATCTATTATTTCATTTTGAATAGAGGGGCTTAAATATGTAGCATTTCTGGGTGCATTCAATAAATTGAGTCTTAGCTCATCGTCTCCAATTGCTCGGTTTCGAAGAATAGCTCTAAAATTCCCATCATTTTCATTTGCATCATCATTAAATATAGAACCGGAATTTCGATGCCCTCGCAATGCCATGCATCATCTATTATAGGAGATATTTTTCTTCTATTTTCATTTACTAATTTTTTTTTACCTTGATCTTTAAAAAGTAATTATAAGGTTATAAAATATGGTTTACCTATTATCTGAATTATTGAATCTCTATCCTTAGCATTGATTGCTCTTAGAGAAGATATAATATATTGTGTATTTTTATGGTATAAATTGTTTTGATGATTTTCAAAGTTCTCTCCTGCATCTTTCGAACGTCTATATGGGCCGTTCACCAGCCGCCTTAATTTTTGCTCACCTTTACCAGCATATTTTGGCCCAAATAAAACACAATATTTACAATAGGCACCATTTTGTGAAGGTGAATAGGCCAACCAAGGCCAAGTTGTAAACCAATTAAATTGGAGTTTTAATTTCCTTTTGGAAAGATCTCGGGGAAATTGATAATTACTCGATGGACTATATATATTATCTAATATATAAAAGTCTTTGGGAGCTACACCTATTTGAACATAATTGCTTATGTCAAATGGTAAGGTTCCTAAATAAATTATATACATATTTTTAAAATAAAAACAAATTTAACCAGATTGCAAATTCTGTACTTTTGACTGTAAATTTACTGCAGATCTTTCATCAACATTAACTTTAAAAAAATATAAATTATATAATTTTAAAATACAGTACTTATTGGGACTATCTGAATCATAGGATCATTTTTCTCTAGTATAATCACTAATGTTTCATCATCTTTTTGAGATTTATCAATATAAACTAATAAAATTTTAATATTCAAATAGTTTTTACTTGAATCAAGTCCTCCTAATTTTATAGAATTATTATTTTCTAGCATCATCACTAAAGATAAATATTAAATCCATTATAAATATAGAATCATCAATCCTTTTTAAATTAATTCTAATCTACTTCTCTTTTGATATATTTTTATGATTGTTACTTATTTGTAATACCCTATTTTCATTTGGATTTGAATTAATTTTCTTACAATGATCTTGGTAGAAAATTAAATATTATAAAAAATATAGAATTACCTTTTTCATTTACATTCTTTAAAAAATATTTTCTGATGTCCATATCAATCTTAAAGTAGAATAATATTCAAATTTACAAAAAATTGTTAATTAAAAAATAATAAATAAAAATGCTATTTGATTTCATATATAAACAGGGTTGCCATGTCTCCCCCCATCAGTGGGAGTCTCCCACGATTTTTTAGTTTACCCACATACATCTCACTCCCACAAAACTCCCACAATTAGAAATCTCCCACAAAAGCTCCCACAATTTTTTAATTTCTCCCACAATTTTTTTTTTAGCATTTTAATGTTTTTAATATATAATACTAATTTTGAGAGATATTTCAACAAGAATAAGGGCATTTCTATAAAACTATTGAAATTTTTTTCATCCGATAGTGAAAAATCCAACGATATAGCTAACCACCTAATGGTAAATATAGCTGATTCAGGGTTATCAATGAGGTGCATGTCAGCTTTCTGCGCTGATAATGCCCTCTGTTAATTTTGGAAAAAATCAAAGTGTATTTACCGAATTGAGGCAGCACAATAATGAATTTATATCAATTGGCTGTATATGCCATATACTGCATGATTCTTGCAAGAAGGCAATGAATGTACTATCTGTAGATGTCGAAGTAATTGTGATGAAATGTTTTAACGAATTTAGTTCATCAACTAAAAGAGTCACTGAATTAAAAGAATTGGTGGAGTGGTCTGATTTGGAATGGTGTGAGTTGTTGCGATATATACCTATCAGGTGGTTATCATTAATACCTGCCATCGAGAGATTTTAAAATTTTACAAACCCTTAAAGAAATACTTCTTAAATAAAGATTTTAAAAGCTGTCCTAAAATTTTGAAAAATTTTTTCGAGGATGAAATGTCAGAAGCATATTTTGGATTAGTTTCACATGTAGGAAATCTACTTCATGTAGTTAATATTCAGTTGCAATCAGAAGATTCTTAATTGATAAAGATTCACAAAATCATGCTACAGCTCGGTTCATCTCTATAGTTAAAAATAGATAATAAAATTTTATGGCGCTATTGCTAAAAATATCATATTAAAATGTTCAAATATTACTATGATTAACGTATTTTTAAATGAAGCAAATATTTTTATTAAGACAATTTTGGAAAATTTACAATCAAGATTTGATTTTAATAACTCTATTTACAAATGTATAAATATTATGACCTTGGAACAGAACCATCATTTGATGGTTTTTTAATTTAATAAATATATTACCGATAGATATTCAAGCCTTGTTTGAAGATATTGTAATTTTTTCCATTTTTTATGATTCGCCAGAATACTTAAAGTTAGATGATCTAAAAGCAGAGGAGAAATGGGTGGAATTTTTTCGTAATAACGATAAATCCCCATGCTTGGAAAAAATTTGCGAGTATGTTTTCTCCTTACCTCATTCTAATGCCTCATCGGAGCTCATTTTTAGCCTGATGAGGACTGCCTGGAGAAAGGAGAGAAATCGAAATACTTTAACAACATTAGAGGCCGAGTTAATGGTTAAAAAAATTTATAAAATGTCATGCCAGGAATTTTATAAATATCTTAATAACGACGGTAAACGTTTAGTTCCATTATTTAGATCTCAAATAAAATATAATTAACTATAACTATTTGACTTTCTATATTTTATAAAATCTTATTTATACATTTGCATAAAATCAAATAAATTTATTTTTTTACTTTGCAAAATTAATATTTTGAATATTTTGGCAAATCATAAAAATAAAGAAGCATTACAATCTCCTCAAACATGACATCATATTAAATCTTATTAATAATTATCCGATAATAGTAATAATATTCTTACTTTGGTATTTCTGCAGCATAATTTAGTGAACCTTTATTAAATTATATTCTTCTGATTGCAACTGCATATTAACAGCATATAGTAGATTTCCTATATGTAAAATTCCTAAATATACTTCTGCCATTTATTTTTGAAAATTTTTTTCAAAATATTAGGACAGCTTTTATAATCTATTTATTTTTTAAAGGTTTGTAAAATTTTAAAATTCTACGATGGCGCGTATTAGGAGGAACCTGTCAACCAACATTATGCTGACTCAATTCTGTAAATACACTCTGGTTTTTGCCAAATTCACTGAGGAATTATCAGATCAGAAAGCTGCCATGCAATTCATTGGTAATGCCAAATCTGCCATATTTACTATAGCTATGTCTTTGGATATTTCATATCTGGAGAAAATTTTTTAAATAGTTTTATTGAAATGACATTAATTTTGTTGAAATAGGGTAGGATCAAGGGAAATGTTTTGATATCTTCTTATTAGATGCATCTGTTAGAATTGCATATGTTTGCACATCTTTCAAATCGTCAAGAATTGACCTTCTGGATTTATATCCTAAAACATTGATGATAGCCTTGCTCATTTGTGTTCTACAAAGTATACTTTTCATTTATATTAGTCGTTAAATATTATGGGGAAAGATTCTACCAACATTGTGATGTTAAGTAGCTCTCTGAATGTTGTACTGCATGATAGGTATTTGCCATTTCCGCAACTGTAGTTGCATCTGTATTATTTCTTATTTTTGAAGAATATTTTTGTTTTGCAATAGATGTTGATAGACTGCCCTGTACTGATTTATGCTTTGAAGATTTTTGATGCCTCAAAATATCATATTCCCTTCCCTCATTGTATTAACTAAATATTGTAGAACAACTTCCCCGTACTGATTATAATTATTTTTTACATTGTAAATTTAAAATTGTTTGTTTTTTTATAAAATCTTATTTATACATTAGCATAAAATATATTTTTTTACATTGTAAAATTACAATTTTTATAAAATTTTATCTTGTTTACATTCTTTTGTATTTAAAAAAGATCGTTGGTTATTATTTTTAAACAAAATTAATATATTATAATAAATCAATATGTTATTTTAACAATAAAGATAGTATTTAAGAAATTTTGTGTCGTACTATAATTACCTATTTTGAAAAATAGTTGCGTATTTTATTTTGGAAAATAGTTACCTATTTTATATTGAAAAAGAGTTGGATATTTTATTTTGAAAAATAGTTGGCTATTTTATTTTGAAAAATAATTACCTATTTTATTTTGGAAAATAGATTCGATTTTATATTTATAAAAAAATAATAAGCGGAGGCCCGCAAATTTTTTTTTTTAGCAATTTCCATATTTCTCCCACAATTTTTATATTACTCCCACAA